GGTGCCGTGAGGGGCGCACAGTGCAGTGCACATGGGGGTGCAAGGTAGTGTTGTGCAGCTCTGGGCAAGGGCGAGCTGGACCCTGCAGGGCTGTGCAGCACAGTCCCACCCCCAAGGAGGGGGTGGCAGGTGCTGTGGGGGGCAGCACAAGTAGGACCCCACACAACTAGGGTGGTGTGTAGGAGTGGCCTCGCTACAGTGTTCTGCAGGGGTGCAGGAAGGAGGCTCCCGGGCTCAGGTCTGCTGAAAGTCCAACTGTCCAGTTAAACATAAACCTGCCATGGCTCTCGCCCAGCTGACCACTCCTGTGACCAGGCAGGCCTAGCCTCAATGAGCAAGTGAGGCAGGATCCTTCTGAGCCACCTTCTCCTCCTGCCCAGACCCACACCAAAATGGCCACTGTTCCCCTTGGCTTCAACATCGACAACCCACGCTGGGACCAGAGCACCTTCCTGGGGCGCCTGAAGCATTTTCTCAACATCACTGACCCACGGACAGTGCTGGTGCCGGAGGAGGAGCTGGATCAGGCCAAGGCCCTGGTGGAAAGCTGCAGGTGAGGGACAGGAGCAGCTAGGGCAGGTGCCATTCCCATGTCCATGGCCAAACCTGACCACACTGCAGTGTTGCAGGGTGATGGAGGCAGTCCTTCCCAAGCAGGTATGCTGTGCCAGAACAGCCATTGGAGGCAGTTTTGGGGGAGTTTCCCAGGCTTCTCCCGAGAGCCTCAAGCTGTGACATGTATTCTTTGTGGGACATGTTACCTCTGCCTTTCATATGGGGTGCCTGGGGCTCTGTGCCCAGGCAGTGCCAGGTGCTGGCGGGTCTGTGCAGCTTCCCCCATGGGCTTTGGCCTTGCAGGGCCGGGCTGGTGCCACCAGGAAGCAGCCAGGAGCAGCTGCTGTATGCCAAGAAGCTGTACGACTCAGCCTTCCACCCTGACAGCGGTGAGAAGATGAACCTCATCGGGAGGATGTCCTTCCAGGTGCCAGGGGGCATGGCCATCACTGGCTGCATGCTCCAGTTCTATCGGTGAGCTCCTGGGGATGCCAGGCTGGGACACAGCCCTGACAGCCCACAACCCCTCCAGAGGTCCTCAAGGGTCGGAGCATGGCCAGCCTGTCTCCTCTGGGGCTGGCTGCTGCCCGAGGCATGCCCCTGGCTGCTGTGCTTGCCTGTGTCCTGTGACCAAGCCTCATGTTCCCGTGCCCTGTCCGCAGTGCCCAGTCTATGATGATCACCTCAGATCCTCCTGGCCCCTGGCACGGCTGAGGATGGTTTCACTTCACCCTGAGCTCAGTTCAGCACTTCCCAGAGCCCCTGTAATGCTACCAAGTCCTACTTGGCTGCTGCTCTTGGTCCACGGACCATAGCAATCCTCAGAACTGAGGACCAAATGTGCCCCCAGGCTAGGCTGGTTCAGCATCCCCAGCCCCTGCCAACAGCTCCCTGAATTTCCCTTCTGAAATGGCTGCTGGGGTGGGGCAAGTGATCCTGTCCCCAGACTATGTGGGACAGACACTTCCTTTCCCATTCCATCTGGTTTGCTAGGCTGGTTTGCCAGATGCTGGTGAGGTCCAGTCTGGATGGGGGATGTCCCAGTGCTGATGAGTTACCCTCATCTCAGCCCATCTCCACTTTCCTGCATTCCAAAGCTCGATCACACCCTCATCACCCTGTGTCCCCTCCTGCCCCACTTCAATGTTCCTGAGACACCAGTAGGAGCCTAGGCACCCTGGTCCCCCAGAGCCACTTCTGTCCCTGTGTGGCCCTTCTTGCTGCTCCCTGTGACAAAGGCTTACCTCAGCCCAGCAGGATAGCCATCGCTGTCACTCTGCTGAAAGCTGGGTCTCCCACCCCTGCCCGAGTGCCCTGCAGTGCTGAGCCCCCCTCCTGTGCTCCTCAAAGCTCCAGGGCAGCCAGGACTCCTGGGATCATTTCCTGTCTCTGCTACTGGCTCGTGGCTTTGCCAGAGTTCCTCAGTTTCCCTTTGGAGATACCATGACAAGTGTATTGAGGACATCTTGGCCATCTCCCTGCCAAGCCTGGTCTTGGGCACAAGCCAGGCATCCCTGACTGCCCTCTCGTGCTTTCCTGGTACTTCCCCTCTGCAGGACGGTGCCAGCTGTGGTTTTCTGGCAGTGGGTGAACCAGTCCTTCAACGCCTTCGTCAACTACACCAACCGCAACGCTGCTTCCCCCATCTCTCTGGGGTGAGTAGGCCCCCACACAGGATGGGGACCCTCTGTGTTATTGCCCCCCTTCATGCCCTGTAAAGACCCCCTGTGCCTCATCTTGGGTGCTGAAGGAACAAGGGTTGAGTCAGAGGTGGTGTTTCTGTTCTCTCCCTTCTTTGGAAATCACTGTACAGGCAAATTGGAGTGGCTTACATCACGGCCACTGGTGCAGCCCTGGCCACGGCAGTGGGACTCAACCTCTACACCAAGGTAGGCCAGGCTGGGGCCAGCTGGGGCAGCTGGCTGCATTCTGCCCTGCCAGACTGATGCCAGCCTCTCTCCCACAGCGAGCACCCCCCTTGCTGGCCCGCTGGGTCCCCTTTGCGGCCGTGGCTGCTGCCAACTGTGTCAATATCCCCATGATGCGGCAACAGTAAGTGTCACACAGGGCCAGAATGCTCGAGGGACCCAGCTCCCCCCAAAGACAAGCTGGTGCCAGCTAGGCTCCTGGACTACCTGGTCACCCTGCCTTGGATTCCCATCCCAGGGGCTGGAGAGAGTGGGAGGGAGGTGAACGGGGGTCTGTGCATTTGCAATGCTGGGTCTCTGGTGGAGGGTGCTGGGTAGGGTGGCTCAGCCTCTGCCTGGAGCAGGAGGGAGATTTTGGACTGAGGATAGCTGTTCTGGGACCTGGCGTGGAAGATCCCTCAGACCCGAAGGTTTTCTGCATGTGGTCATGGGAGAGCCCCAGACCATGATATCTTGGTGCTGGGACACCCCAAGTGGGGCCCTTGTGGAGACCTGTCTGCTGCTGAGGGTACCCCAGGTGACGGCACAGGGAGCTGTGTGAGGGACTGTCCCCTGTCTCAGCTGCAGGTCCCAGCAGTGACTGTCCCAGGCACGACTGGACCCTGCTCGCAGCCGTGCCCTGAAGGTGGCAGCATCGGCTGGGCCCCGGGGTTATGGAGCCCTGTGCCCGGGGACAGCCGGGGCTGTCGTGCCAGCTCAGTGCAGAGGACGCCCTGGGCACCCCCCACCCCCCTGCTGCGACCTCGTGCTTTCCCGACCATCCACTCACAGCTGCCTGTCCCCTCCAGGGAGATCATCAACGGGATCACAGTGACAGATGGGGACAACAATGAGCTTGGCTGCTCCAGGGTGAGTCTGGGGATGGGGGTCTGGGCTGGGGCACGGCACTGCAGGGGTTCACCTGCTGCTTTTCTTACAGAGAGCAGCAGCGAAGGGCATCGTGCAGGTTGTGGTCTCCAGGATCACCATGGCAGCACCAGGCATGAGTGAGTGTGGGGCAGGACTGGGGACTCCCCTGGACACACCACC